TGAACTGCAAGCTCTAAGAGGGCAAGGAGCTTTGTCTGCTTGTTCACTGATGAGCCCTGAGAACTTTCGACACTGCCTGACACACACTAAGCATTCAATAAGCATGTGGTGAACAAATAAGTGCTTTTTTAAAAATTGTGATAGTGAAACATTTATATGAAAAAGTGCCTCTAAACAGAAGCTTTGAGACCTAGTTGAGATGTTAAGAAGCAGTCATGCTGGGTACCAAGCAAGAGAAAAATTAACACAATGTATGTGGCTATTTTTCATGATTGAGAAGAGCTTTAAAAGGGGAGTAAGGGATGCCTGGGCGGCTCAGTGGTTGTGTCTGCGTTTGGCTCTGGTCCCAATCCCGGAATCCTGGGATCAAGTCCCACAGGGAGCCTGCTTCTCTATGTCTCTACCTCTCTCTGTGTGTCCCTCATGAATAAATAAATAAAATATTGAAAAAAAAATAAAAGGGAAATAACATTAGTCCTAATCTTAAATATCCCAGAATGAACTTTATTCCCTTTACTTCTCTTCCTTGCTCTCTTCTAGCATCTCCATACAGATTCAGTAATGTTTGATGGTTTTCCTTGGGTATTTTAACAAAAGCTGATCTCATACTGGCATGATAGCATGATTATTTTCCCAAAAAATCCGTTCAAAGGACTAACAGTGCACTTCAGAGTGCTCTGAGAGAAAGAACGGTCATGGAGATTTTTTAAATATCTACTAGCTCCTTTATTTCAGAGTCTCACCTGAAAATCCCACAAAGATTTGGCTTTCTAGTGCCTAAAAAGCAATGTAGAAATTTTTCTGTATCCTAAAAAATTCTGGAAATGATTGTTACAACAAATCATTTCTCAACCATTGTTCACACTGGCCAATGAATAGCATTCTTGGGTTCTCTAGTGAGCAGAGCCAAACAAGTGACTTCAGACTTTAAAATCCCAGGAGTGATTTTGGCCTGGCTCTGACTTTCCCAGAGGCAAAATTATCCTCATGCTGAATACATCACAAGTCCCAATGATGACTGTCTGTTCCTAGGTTTTAAGAAGGTTCTAAAAAAACAAAAGCCTTACTTCTCCTTCCAAAATCTACTAGCACTCACAGCACTGGGCTTTATGCTCATTTATTACAAAGTATTCTCAGCTCTGGGGTCTCAAGGGTCTCCCTTAATGTATTTTTTAGTAGGTAAGTACATTCATTATAATGATGCAGATGACTGTCCAAATTAAAAATGTACAAGGATTTGCACAAAAAGGAAAAATAAGACTTTACACTTGGCTTTTATTTTTAAAGACACTTGTAAACAACCTTTTTTGAAGCTTATCTAAAGTATATGTATAGGACAAAGAAACAACTTAGTCATCTCTGGGAAAATAAAATCATTAGCCTAAGTGAAAAAAATAATAAACTAGTTTTATTGCTTTAGTGTATAAAACTATAACTGATAAATAGACTGACTTTAGTCTATTAAATGTGAGGATGCCATTCTGGGAGGGGAGGGGGTGTCACAGAGACATTGCCAAAAGTGTTCATTGAAATGTGTTGTTCAGTATTGGAATATTTAACTGTGTGATGTTGTTACAGCACTTGCGTGAAGTGTAATGTGTGTGAGTTGGGTAGGCAAAACAAAGCACCCCTGTGCTGCCCAGAGTCAAATCCAATTTTTGCTCTCTTCAAAGTACTTTCTTATGGCTAATACAAGTTTGGCCTTGAGCCCTTCCTGACACAATCAAGAGGCAGCTATAAACCATGGGTGCCCTAGGTTAAGACAGTGTTCAGTCGGCTGGAATTGTCTTTCAGTTTGAGACAGTACACCATATAGCATAGTTATGTGCCCATGTTTCTTCCAACATTTGAGAAGATGTGAGAAGTACTGACCTTGAGAATATATGTATCCAAATATAGAAGGGTTTAAATTCGAAAACCTCTTTTTAAAAACTTCAGTTGCAGGATGTATGGACTTGTGTGTATGTGCACACAAACACATTTGTGCATAGTTACATAATTACCTTTGTAATAGAAGGTACAGTAACTAATGGTTTATCACATTATTTAGTTAAAAAGATTACAACAGGGGTGCCTGGGTGGCTCAGTGGGTTAAGCATCTGACTTTGTCTCAGGTCATGATCTTGGGGTCCTAGGATCCAGCACTGCCTCAGCTCTGCACTCAGTGGGGAGTCTGCTTCTCTCTCTTCCTCCCTTCTACCCTAACCCTCTCCCTCTGGCCCTTCCTCTCCCCCTGCTCATACGCACACTCTCAAATAAATAAAATCTTTTTAAAAAGATTACAACATATGTCCCAGAATAATATTTCCAAAGCATTAATTTTGTTATCATTGCTGTTTTTGACTTGTTGCAGCCAGCAACATGTATCAAGGGTACAATTCAAGTGCCAGACAAGTATATTTACTGGCTTGTTTAATTCTCACGCAAAACTTACAAGCTGTATGTCATTATTGATAAGAGAGATGAGAAAAATGAGGCTAAGAGGGGTTAGGAAACTTGCCCAAGGTTAGAGTGAGACAAAGGTAAGGCTGGCTTCGAGTGTGGTGTCTGGACTCTGTACCGCCTATTTTTTATGCTAAAAGAAAATGAACTAAATATGGAAATCATTAGGAGCAAAATTTGATCTTTGATTATTTAAAAAATAATCCCTATTGTCACAATACCTCTGAATCACCAATTTGGTCACTATTTACCACCCGGCAGATGGATAGAAAATTCAAAGCATTGAGATTTCCAATCTTAAGAATTATGAATGAGTAAATTTTTTATTTTTTTTTATTATAAATTAATTTTTATTGATGTTCAATTTACCAACATACAGAATAACACCCAGTGCTCATCCCGTCAAGTGTCCCCCTCCGTGCCCGTCACCCATTCACCCCCACCCCCCGCCCTCCTCCCCTTCCACCACCCCTAGTTCATTTCCCAGAGTTAGAAGTTTGGACGTTTACAAACACAGATATACAAGCAAATAGACATAGGACTTTTGAGGTGGAATTTATTAAAAAAAAAAAAACCTGCCTCACATCTCTAGCCAATTTGAAAGTAGCTTTTACACATCAAGGGAGTAAACCTTGTATTCCTCAATTTATATTAAGTACTTCTCCATGTAAAATAAATGTCCCAGAAGAAAAATCTACCATCACTTTAAAACCCAAGATGGCTTGACGTTTTTCTCATTGCAAGCCTTAAATAGGAGTAATGCTTGATGAAGAACAAAGAGAAATTCTGATTAAAAAAAATATATCTAGGCATTTGCGTGGAGCACCCAGCAAGTCTGTGAAACAAAATGAGATGAGAACTATAATTGCACCAAGATTAGCCAGTAATGCTATCAGGCAGACATAGCATTTTGTCCACTGTGATTCCTGTAAAATCCTTATTTATTTTTAAGACATTTCTGAATGGAAATGTCACAGCACAACTGAGAGAATCTCATAATGATAAAGTAAGCTTTTTTCAAAAAGAAAAATTCACCATGTTACACTCTTTCGAGTTCATGCTTTCACTTGATGTTGACATAGTTTTAGAAAACCATGCTTGAAACAAGGTGAAATTGACTTAAAATTTATAGAATGTAAGACATCAAAATGTAAAACATTAAGTAGAGAAACTATAGCTTTCTCCAACCCCTGAATTTTTCACTTACATCCAGTCTATAAAGTGGTCAATTTTTTATAAACACACAAGCCCACAGTGTTCATATTTATCTCGCAACATCAGTTCTAAAACATTCAACAGGATTATTCACTGCCTCGATTTCATTCAGATCAATTTAGGGTCTCCTCCCCATCAGTGCTCAGAACAAGAACATAAGCTAGTCAGCATCTCAACTTTATTCACTCTCTGACAGCATAACCCTAGGCCATTCCATCTAATTAGAATCTGGGGAAGAAGCCAGGTAACTCCAAAATAGCCTCAAGGTAGGGCTGAGGTACATCAAACAGGGACATACCTGACACTCAGTGAGTAAGAGGAAAGTGGCTGGAGAATGGAAAAATAACCTGGGCCAGATCACAGAGGTCCTTAAGATGTGCATGGTGTTGATTTATGGGCTGTTACTCACATATAAGATCTTTGAGTCCCTCTCTTGACAGAAATTCACGTAATAGAACTCCAAACCATAAAATAAATGTACCAATTATCTTATATTCCCTTAGTCATTTATAGTTTATGAAAATAAGAATTTGTTTCATTATATAAATATTAAGATGAATTCTAAAGTGTTAAAAAGTTCTCTCAGATACAATGTTTCTAAAAAGAAGATTCTATCAGTGGAAGACAGGTATGAACATACACCCCACTCCCTCAGATACATTTTGAGAACCTTGTGGTAGCCCTCAAACTACAGCAACTTAACCACCTACCCAGAGGGCCTCTGGCTCTGCAAAACTTCACCTGACGATGGAAAGGGACAAATCACTGAGAAGCAAGCCCTCACTGCCTTAGCTGCCTTCCAGGGTCAGGCTTGCTGAGGGAGAACAGGAGAAAAAAAAGTGCTCCACCACTTTTGATTGTTTTTGGTCATGAAGAAGTTTATGATGTTGCATTAAGTATTTGAAGCACCTCCATGCCTTTTGGTCAATTGCTTTATTTTTAAGCTCAGATATGGGTAGTTCCAGAAAAATGGAATTATTCAAAACCCTTACCTCTACCTGTACAGTTGTATTTACTAATTTCTTTACATGTGGAAGAGCATCCTTAGAGAGAAAGTTGAACACTACCTTAAATCTTTGTTCAAGATACATTAATCGCTGCTATCAGTCACTTTTTAGAACTTGGGATAAACTTGCACTGCACATTAAAGTTTTATTCTCATATATTATTTAGACTTAGAGCTTATGAGTAGAAATATGTATTTTATTTTTTTTACAAGAGAGCGTGAGAGAGAGAGGAGGTGGAGGGGGAGAGAGGGAAAGGGAGAGAGAGAATCTTAAGCAGATTCCATGCCCAGCATGTAGTCCATTATGCAGATGAATAAATCAACTGACCTCCAAAAATCGCTCCTGAGTGTTGCAATCCACCAGAAGAAATGTCCTTTACACCTCTTAAATGGAAACGGCCTCAAGAGAGGTCAAATTGAGGCTGAGGGGGCTCCAGGAACCCGTGAAGTTAGAGCTAAGAATGAAGAGCGAAGGTAACTAGCACGATCATACATCCGCATATACAATGGAAAGCGACCTGCAAATCCAACCCATCCCGGCGTACCCACCAACTAGTCTGTTCACTGGAGAAGCAGCAGTTAGAAGGAGCTAACTCCTGGCAAGAGAGACAGCTGCAGACTCCTGGCAGAGGGGCGTGGGGCAGCGTTTCAGTTTTGCTAACATGGAGTGAGTACTCATCGCCACAGGTATCAATCCAAGACTGTGGTGGTGGTGGCGCTGTTCCTGCCTCCTATGAGGAGTTTCATGAACATGCCCAGGACTGTGGGATCCACAGTAGGAAGTGAAAGCCAAGACTAGTCTTGGATACTTTTATAGGCATCCTGAGGATTCCCAGAATTCTCAGTGCACAGAGGCTCTGCACAAGACCAAACTTCCTGCTGTTTACTATGTGACAGCTCAGAGCCATCAAGGCGTGAATGCTAACGCCATGAGTGTAGTGGACACCACCGTTTTTCACCTGCTCTTTGCTACAGATCCCATCTCATCTCCAACTGTGAGAGCAGAGCTGGTACTGAGGCTAACAGGTCAGAGGCCCTTACCAGTGCTTCGACGACACAGAAACTAATTAAGTGTTCCCAAAGGGGCCAGCCAGAGTTCTTTCCCAGCCTTTCTTGCACCGAAACTGGAACGATTAACTTTCTTCTTTCTGGTTACAAATCTGAAGATGTGCCTTAAAGCTACAGCAGCCACTCCTCACCTCCCCTCCATCGCCCCCACGCACCTGAGTTTTAGCTTTGGGGAAGATATCAGTGGAAGAGAATGAAGCTAATTTGCAGAGAGAACTCGAGAGACGGAGAGAAGGAGGTCTGATGACCTTCACTTCCATAGTTGTGTCTCCTAGCCCTCCCCTCAGTTTTGGTTACGCAAACCAATAATCTCCTTCACTGCTTCAGCTAATTTGAATTTGGTTTCTGTCACTGGCAGTGGGGTGAGTCCTGAATAATACAGTGGTGTTATCTGGTGGGTGAAGTCTGAGATATTCTGATTACACAAATGTAGATGTGACAAGAATTTGACAGACATGTCAATTCTAGTTTTTCCTTAATAAACTGAAAAAAAAAAGACTATTTACAATTCATTGAATATGGATTTGAGTTGTTGGTGTCTCACATTATTTGAATTCTTTTTTTTCTCTAATAATAGAGTAAGATAGTCAATGAGTGAAATTTCCTCTATCATTAAATTAATTGAAATACTAGTTAAAAACATACCAATATGGTGCTATACAAGTGGTTATATACTAACAAATTTATCATTTTGTTTAATAATCTGAAAAAGTGAACTTAAAAATGAGTATTTGTTGTACTGCATTAGCACAGAGGAAAAATGACCACCATAATTTTTAATAGGAATTTAGACTATGAATAATATAATCAAAGACCTTAAAGATGTAAAGATTTAGTAGGTAATCAATTTTGCCTGTCAGACAATTGCCCCATTTTATAAAACTATTCCTTCAACAAATGTTTACGAAGCTCAGGATCTCTCTTAAAGGCTAGTGGTAAACAAAAACAGCAAAGCCTCTACCTTCTGGAGCTTGTATCTGCCCCATTGCAATAATCGCTACAAGTTGTATCCTATTCACTGCCTATGTCTTGTATTTGCTACAGAATAATGGGAAAAGCAAGCTCTGTTCTTGATAGGATGGCAGTCCAATAGGGACACTATTTATATGTTATATGTTACAATTTTAACAGGCCAGTGAGAACCAAGACCTTTCTCCACTTTGTTGTTAAACTGAGAAGATACAGGAGGAACCAGGTATTACTACTCGAACCGCAGTAACAGTATTTCTCTCTAAAAGCTCGCCTACTTTGGGCACTAAACCCTCTTTTGGGTCTTTACCCCATTAGATCCACTTGTTTCTGCCTCAGATTATGATTGCCAAAATTTGGTTTTTGTGCTAGTATTCCACAGCAAAGCTCTGCATTCTAAATCTCTTACTAAGTGAATTGATCTTATTTTAGTACTTGTTTAAATCAGCAAGTGTTTATTTTAAGGTAAATCACAAAAATGCAATGATTTGTTTCACGTGCAAACATGTCATGTATATATTTCCAACCATTCAAAATGCATACCTGATTATGGGCACCTAAATTACCAAGGTCCTTTTGCAGATCTCTGAAGTTGTCCCTCCTGCTCCTGACTTGCCTTGACACAGAGTTTTCTATGTGTTGTCATCCGAAGGGCATGAGCTCTAGAGACAGGCTGTCCAGCTTTAAATTAGCCCTTTAGTGACTGTGCGATCTTGGGCAAGTTATTCAACTTCTCTGAAATTCCTATCCTCCATCTGTGAAATGGAAATAATAATAATGTCATGCCCATCGGTTATTGTAAAGATTACATGAAATCATATGTATAGAGAACTTGACAGAATGGCTGGAACAATAGCAAGCATTCAATGAATAATTCTCTGTTATGACTACATAGGAACTCATAGGAACTTTCCAAATAATATTTGCTGGATTCAGTGGTCATATTCACTTGTCATAAAGGTATATGTGCAAGATATTCTACTGAGAGTTCCAAAAGAATGGAAACTGAGTCACAGTCTCTGCACTCAAGACATTTACAATATAGGAGTAAGATAATTAGACCAAAGTACAAAAAAAGTTTCCATGTGGCAATCACCATAAAATAGATACAAATAAGGTATGATACTGGTTCAATAAAAATCATTTGCATCCATTTGAGAGGACCTCAAAGAGGCCCTATTTAAAATGGATGCCAAATTGCAGGTGCAGATGAAGGAGCCGGGCATTTCCAGCCATAAGAGCAACATTCCTGATTCTTTTCCTTCCCCTCTACTTTTTCTTCATCCTATTCTTGGACTAATCTTCTATCCAATGTATAAAAATTGATATTCCTCAGGATTCCACCCTCGACCTTCCTTTAGTCTCTATGTCTTTGGAACTATCTCAACCACTCACATCACATATGCCATTGACTCTCAAATGTCAATTTCTACTCTTGGTCTTTCCTCCAAGCTTCAGACCCAATTATCCAAGGGCTTCAGAGAGGTTTCTTTTATCCATGGCACTTCAAACATGTCATAGTAAAATTTGCCTCATCTCCTCCTCCTGTGTTCCCTGTTCTTCTTGGTGGTAGCACTCTCTGCTCAGTCACTCAAGCCAAAACCCAGGAAGTCATCCCTAATCCTTCTTCTCCTTCACTCCACACCACAAATTGCTCACCATTCCCATTGAATCTACCTCTAAGATATTCCTCAGGTCTCTCCACTCATTTTCCATCTTTATTGCCACTGCCCTACAGTCTTTCATCTTGACAATGGCCATGTCCTCCCAATAGGTGACCTGCTCCAGCATCCCTCCCCTTCCATCTATTCTTAATAGTATCATCAGAATACATTTTCTACAATGCAAAACTGACACTGATTACAACGCCTCAAGGCCCCCTAACTGCCACCTAGACAAATTAAAAATCTCTTGGTAGGTCATGTCAAGTCATCTGTAGTAAGGCATTTTCTCACCTTTCACTTTAGATTCCCAAGGTAACCACACCACCTGCAATTCCCATAATACTTTTCCTTTCACACCTTTGTGCCCCTGCCCCTCCCACATCCTCTGCCCGACAATCCACCTGCTCCTTTTTACCTGGCTTTTGCTTTCCCATTTTCTCCTCAGGATTCTTCCCAGTAGTCATTCCTCTGGAAAGCCTGCCAAAGTGCTTTTCTCATGGGTGCCCATAACATCCCACAGGAACTGCTTTCACATTACACTGTTCTATCATCACGGCCTTTTTCATTTTCTCTCCCACAGAATGTGTGTATGCTGAGGCAAGTCACCACGTTTTCATTCATTTTTGTCAACAAATATTGAGTGTTTACTGAGTGAACATGACAGACTGAGTCCCTGACTTCATGAAGTTTGTATTTTGATGGTACCTGTCTGGTGGGAAGGGGAAGTATAGAGAGAATAAACTAATGATTAAGACAATTTCAGATCCCAATAAAAGCTGGTCAGAAGATAAAACACAGATTAAAAAGTGACAGGGGGATGTTGCTTTCTTTTCTTTTTTTTTTTAATTTTTATTTATTTATGATAGTCACAGAGAGAGAGAGAGAGAGAGGCAGAGACACAGGCAGAGGGAGAAGCAGGCTCCATGCACCGGGAGCCCGATGTGGGATTCAATCCCGGGTCTCCAGGATCGCGCCCTGGGCCAAAGGCAGGTGCCAAACCGTTGCGCCACCCAGGGATCCCAGGGATGTTGCTTTCTTGAAGAGTTTTCAGAAATCCAAAGGATGAGCAGCTAACTCTGTGAAGACCTTGGGAAGGAAGTTATAGGCCAGGAATAGCTGGTACAAAAGCCCTCAGGAAGGATCCACCTTGTTCTGCAGACAACTCAAAGGCATAGATACCCTGGGCACAGTGAACAAGGCGGAGGATGACAGGCAATGAGATCGTAGAGACTGACAGACACAGGCCTTGGAGGGCCTTGCAGACTATTGCATCGGTTTCCTACTGCAGCCATAACAAATTGTCACAGATTCAGTGGTTCCAACAGCACAAATGTATTATTTTACAGTTCTGTAAGTTAGAAGTCTGCAATGGGTCTCCCTGGGCTACAGCCACAGTGTTGGCATGGCCACATTCCTTTCTGGAGGCCCTGGAGAAGAATCCATTCCCTTTCCCCAAGCCTTCTTTCTCCTTGGCTTTGCGCTCTTTCCTCAGTCTTCAGAACCAAAAATGCTGCATCTCCCTCTAACTCACTCCAACCTCCTTCTTCCACTTTTAAGAACTCTTGTGATTATATTGGGACCACATGAATTAACTCCCCATCTCATAGCCCTTAATTTAGTCATGTCCTCAAAATTCCTTTTGTCATGTAAAGAAATCTTTATTCCAGGGATTAGAACATGGACATCTTTGGGGGCCCTTTATTCTGCCTACCACAGACCTGGCAAGACTTTTGGACTTTATTCTAATTATAATAAATAATCACTGGAGGGATTTCAAAACAAACAACAAAGACATGAGCTGGATTATATTTTTAAGGGATCATTCTTCACACTGTGTGTAAGGTCTGTATGAGGAAAAGGAGAGGCAAGGAAACCAAGTAGGAGTTTCTCTCTAGTCCAAATGAGAGACAGTGGATTTGATGAGGATGATAGCAGTGAAGATGCTGAAAACTGTCCAGATTCAGGAAAGGTTTTGGTACAAGAGAGACAGAAATTGTTGATGGATTGGCTATAGAAAATATGAAAGAGAAGAACCAAAGGATGGGTCTTAAATTTGGGGATCAATTCACCAGTGTACGGTGGTGTTACTGACAGAACACGGTGAAGAATGGGGGAAGAGTGGATGGATCTAGGGCAGAAGGTGAACATTAAAATGTGTCAAGCTGGAATAGCCATGTCAAGTTTAGGATAACTGTAAGATATCCAAGGGGAGTCATCAAGTAGGCTGTGGGATTTATGAGTCTGGAGCTTGCAGTAGAAAACAGAGGTGGAAACATAAATTCAGGAGTCATCAGCATAACAATGATATTAAAGTTGTGAACCTAGATGAGATCATCCAGGGGGAAAGAAGTTGATACAGAAGAGGGCAAGAGCACATCCTGGAAGACACAAATATTGACAGGCCTTATTCATATTTATAACCCTAGCACTTAGTCATGACACAGAATGGCTTCTCAATAAATTGCTAATGAACACAGGACTAATTCTGAGACTAGCCATTATTAGAAATTAAGCTCTACAAACTTATCATTAAATAGATTATATTAAGAACAAAGGTGGTTAATATGTAAAACTCATCACTTGTTAATTACTTTATACATCTTATTATTATCTATGCTCATGAGGTTAGTTATGTCTCCTGTAGCTTATCAATTCCACTTTTAGTGCTGCTGTATTGCTGGCTTACAGTTGGTTGTGGTTGAAGTATTTATGCCATGAAAATTGGCAAGTGCTACAAATTAGCTTGATTTATTATTTCGTCAATTGTTAGACTCAAGAAAGTAATAGAGAACATGTTAATCAGGTAGATTGGACTTAAAAGTATGTCATGTCTGTAATCATTATATTGTGAATAGCACAAAAAATTAAGGAAATCTTTTTCTTAATTTTTTTAAGATTATTTATTTATTTATTAGAGACAGAGAGAGAGAGAGAGGCAGAGGGAGAAGCAGGCTCCATGCAGGGAGCCCAACGTGGGACTTGATCCTGGGTTTCCAGGATCACGCCGTGGGCTGAAGGCGGTGCTAAACCACTAAGCCACCGGAGCTGCCCGAGGAAATCTTTTTCTATTATGTGAAAAGTATTCTATGATTTAGTGAAGACGTTGCTCACATCACTGATGAATAAGTGAGGCTCTAATAATTGTCTTTATTGTTTCAATTTCACCTACCTCAACATAAACAAAAATACCCAACATTCATGTCAGAATTATACTTGTGAATTAATTGCAACCATAGGTTGGCAGGGGATATAAGATTTGGCAAAAATCAATAAAAGCATTAGGTGAGAATCAATTGGCTATACAGAATGTATAGGAGTAATGTATATTTCGTTATAATGTTTAAATCGGTGCTGTGCTACACATCCTTTATAATAGCAAAATGTATAATAAACTACACACATAAACACATTTACCCCAGAGGAACAGTTAAACAAACATTTGCCAGTAACCACTGCTTATATCTGAACCTGATAGACATATGATATGCGGTAGTAAATTACTGTATTACTAACTGTTTATGGGAACTCATTAAATATTCATAGCAAATTCATGATCAGTATTTTAAATGTTGATAAGTTATGCATTTGGGTTCCAGTAAAATTAAAATGGATCTGTCAAATATCATAAAGCCTAGTGAAGTTGATGGCGATAGTTTCTCTTTATTTGCCTGAATTTATGTTTGATAATTGAGAATTTTTTCTTCCTATACAGATGCTGAGCATCAGAGACTAGGAAAAGAACAAGCTAAAAATCTGTCTTGGCTTTCTTAAAAGAATTATCTGCTGATCAGCTAGTATTTGGACCAGATTAAAAGGCTTTCACTGTGCAATACGATCACCGCTAACTACGTGTGTCTATTTAAACTTAAATTAGTTAAAATTAAATAAAATTAGAAATGTAGTGCCTTAATTAAACTAACCATATTTCAAGTGCTCAATAACCACACATGGCTAGCAGCTACCATATTTAGACAGTTCAGATTATAGAACTTTTCCATCATCGCAAAAAATTCTGTTGGATAGCACCAATAGAAAATGCCTTCCACACAGAGGATGATTTATAATAATTAACTGAGTGATCAAAATTTACCCTATTTTTCTTAAAGTGAAAAGTTAAAGAAATCAAAAATGTATTTTTCAGGAGAAAAGAAACCACCGATAATTGCATACTCGGATATATTTAGGTATTTAGCATTCAAGGAGGGGACTAGCATTTCTTGGGCGTCTCCTATGTGTCAGACATACTATTTGTCGCCCTCACAACAGATATATAATTTTCTCAACAAACAGGTGAGGATCCTGAGGATCGCAGAATTAATACCTTGCCTTTCTCAGTCAGGCAGTCAGTGGCACAGTTTAACCGTGCCATCAGAATTTCAGATGTTCTTTCTGCACTATGAACAAAATCATCGATGGTGAATGGCAGTCTTCCATTTGTCTGGATATTGGGGAAGCCACTGAGTAGAGGCAGTAAAGTAGAGGACTGTGGGCAATGACTCTGCTGCAGAGTGCCTGCTTGGAATCCTGGCCCTGCCACTTCCCAGCTGTGTGACATGGACAAATTACTTCCTCTTGTACCTCAGTTTCCTCCTTTTATGAAGGGTATTATCATAGTACCTAACTTAAAGAGTTTCAGGGGCAATTAAATGAGTGAATATTTGTAAAACACTAAAACAGAGAAGAACATGGCACAGAGTAACTGCAATAAAAGTGCTTGCTGTTAGAATGGATGGCATAGAGGAGAAATAAGTCAATATATCTCCCACAGCCAGATAACAAAGTTTGAAACTTAATTTATCCATGCCATTCATTTAAAACCTGAATAAGGCTTTAACTTAGGACAAAACATGGGCTGACAGTTTTCCCCCCATTCGTGCACAAGTGTGGAACTGTGTAACCTCTTAGAAGAACTGTCTGAAGAGTATGACTTAAAACCATAAGATTGGGCAGCCCCTGTGGCTCAGTGGTTTAGCACCGCCTACAGCCTGGGGTGTGATCCTGAAGACCCAGGATTGAGTCCCACGTCGGGCTCCCTGCATGGAGCCTACTTCTCCCTATGCCTGTGTCTCTGCCTTTCTCTCTCTGTGTGTCTCTCATGAATAAATAAATATAATCTTTAAAATAAATAAATAAATAAAACCATAAGTTTGTGGCTGGTATTGCCTATTTCCAACTAGCACATGAAACAAAACCATATCTCATTAATGGAAAATCACATTGACAGGTCTGGCCCTCTGTTTTTATTATTATCATTCACCTATTAGCAAAGCATAATTGAAAGCAATAGATTTGCCTCTTGACCTTACAACATGTTATTTAATCTATCAATTATTTTCAAACCACATTCCATGATACCCCCAACTTTGACCAGGCAGCTCAGCTATCACTTACTGCTCACCTACTATGTCTCAGGTGCCCTCCACGCATTGTCACCAACCCAAACAGCAACCAGTCAGAGGTAGACACTACTGTGTCTACAGTTACATTTGCAAAAATCGACTCATTAATAACTTGCCCAGGGTCACACAGCTTTTCAGGGGAAAACGGCATTTGAACCCAGGTCTTCTTAATTCAAAACCAAGGCCCACACCACTCAGCCACTATAAGAAAGACCATGAAATAATATGAAAGGGGACAGAAATATGGGATGTGTGTATTTCATTACCTTCAGTATGTCTAAAGCAGAATTTCAAAAATATAATAAAAATAGGTTCTAGAAAAATCATTAGCATTGCTATCCAAAATCACAACAGACTTAAGAGTTTTATCTGCTGGGTCACCACCGACAATGCAGGACCGCTGAGCAGGTATGAACTTAGACCCAGACCTGCTGATGGCTTGCTACCACCAGAGCTATGTTCCATCAGCACAGTCTTATTTTGCAACCCCATGATCGGGAAAATCAACACTGTCTGTCCGAATACATGATTAGAAGAATGGGACCTCTGTTTTTGCAAGTCTTAAGTGCCAGGAGTAAATGCAAAGTTGGTTCGTGGATGAGCCTGGAAGTGGTCCTGTGCATACTCATCAGGGGCCTGCCTGACCAACCCGGAGAGAGCTCCCCCACCCCAGCAGGGTCCCATCTCAACCTGGCCTCTGCCTCTCCAGCCCTGCTCCAGCTCTCTTTTGTCTCCATTGACCTCTCCCCTCTTGTCTCCTCTGTGCCTACCAGTCTGGCATTCTGATGGATTGGCTTCGCTGGCTCTCAACCCTCCTACTTTGTTCCACAGTCTGAGGCTTGACTCCTACATCCTGGCAAGGGCTTGTTGCTTTCTGCACTCCTGGTAACCAAGCTCTTTGGCACTGCCCCAGGACCCCCTCCTGTGACCCACTCAGCTCAGCAGACCTGTAAATATGGCTTGTCATGCCAAACTCAGCATCCCCTCCCCACTTCTGGCCTCTGAGGGCCCTGCCCTGGATGTCACCTCACTGATCCATGGTCTCTGGAGCACCGGTGGAGTTCAGCTAGATCAGCTCCCGCCCCTAGAGTCTCTCCACCTTGCTCACGCACACTGTGAAAGGAAGTACAATTCTGAAAGAGAAATGCCAATGTACCGTGGCCATCAGGGAGCACCCTAGCAGAGTTTACTGCCTCCTGGGCACAGCCATGTCCACCCTGGCACAGTGACCAACAGCAGTTCCAGAGTTCTACCCCCAACAGAACTGCCTGCCATTCCACTGATGCCCATGCCAGCCTCCTGGGTTTCCTGCTACATCAGGAGCACTTTATGATCCTTCATGTTGTCTACTTGCTAGTCTTTGCATGCCTGGTAAGGCCAGGAAAGAAATTCGCAGTGCCCTAAGTGGAGTGAGGGCGCTCCTACCCATAAAAGCTACATTAATATATGAACGTCCTCAGGGGAGGAAGGGACAGTAGCCAACACTATATCCCCACCTGTAGAAGCTATGAGGACTCTTGTAAGGCCTTTTGACTGGGTTATGACTTGTCATTCAAGCCCTTTCCTCAAACAAGCCTTCAGTTCATAGATGACTCGGTGGCGCACCTGCAGGAGCCATTCAAAAAACAGCTGAGCATCTGTTCTGTGCTTAATGCTGTCCTGAGTACTGCAGACTCGTCAGTAAACGACTCAGGTGTCTGTCCCCAGGGGGCTTACAAACTAGTGGGGAATATAGTCATTGAAAAGTCTCATGAGTCTTTCCAACAATATAAGTGTTATGAAAGAGAATTATAAGGTTCAAAGGAGCTTACAGAAGGAGACAAATCTGCTCTAGGAACTCAGAGAAAGCTTCCTGGAGAAAGTGATACTTCTGATGGCTTGAAGGATTAGTGGGTGAAGGAGAGTTGAACAGGGTTGGAGATGTAGGAAGGGCGGGGAGAAGCACTGCAACCGGCTGGAACAGCATGAAGGAGGGGCCTGAAAGTAGAATACACTGAAAAATGAAAAACTGAAAGAAGGCTGGCATGTTGGAGCATAGAAAAGAAAGAGAAATGAGAGGTGAGACGGAAAATGATACAGGCAGGGGCCAAATCATACACAGTGTCTCTCAGGCTGCCGAAGAGTTTTTGTTTTTGTTTAGCCTCATGGGAATGGGAAACAAGGGGTTTTGATCAAGGGAATGACATGGACAGAAAGATCGCTCTGGTCATAACGTAAGAGTGAATTCAGTGTGTAGTGGAGGGAGAAGGTGGGCATACACGGTGGATATGCAGTAGGAGATGCCTGCTGACAACACCAGTTCCACTGCCTTCTACACTTGGCTCTTGTCCCAGGTGAGGGACTTAGGAATGACATTTCCCACTATCCCTTGCCTGCAGGGTTCCAGCTCAGACTGTGCCCATCAGAGGCCTTTGTGGAAGATGCAGAAAGTAGAAAATGCGGAAAGCAGAAAAGACTCACCATGTTCCTTCAGTGCAGCTGTGTGCGGATGTGAGGTTTACAGAGGCTCCCAGGCAAGCTCCTGCAAGTCAACCTTTCAGCAAGGCAGGCAGCTGAGCTCAGTGGCATCCAGGTTTCCCGGAACCTTCTGACTGTCAACATTTCCTGAAGGTTAGCAGCAGTTTTTATGCACTCTTGATTACTCCAACTTATGCATCCAAAGGTTATGCACACTTCTAATCCCTCCTGTTAAGTCTCTCCTACCTGAAATATCTAAAGCAGTTTTGGTTTTCCGTACTACACCCCAACTGCTAGGCAGTTAAGTTTTCTCAGTATTTGAGGGAGAGATTAGGAGGGCTTGTTCTAGAGTGTAGGCACTGAGGACAGGAAAGAAGATAGATTCAATGTATGTTAAAGAAGTGGAATCTAAAAAAAATAAATAAATAAAAATTAAAAAAATAAAATAAAAAATAATTAAAAAAAGAAGTGGAATCTATAGGACGTCATTAGTAATTAAATGGGAGGAGTAGGGGCGATGAAGAGGCCAAAAATGACTACTACATTTTGGTTTTAAGGTCAGGCAATCCTGCTAAATTTGCCATCCGGTCCATAGAGCTGAAAAGGATGTTGACATTGCCCCAAACTGCCAACCCAGACTGGTCTCTTTCCTGATGGAAGAGCAGAAGCCAAAAAAATGAACTAAGGAAGTTGACAGCATGATAGTGAAGAAGATATGCCCTTTTGCAGGATATGAAAATCTCTACCCTAGAGGTCATGAGCCACCATAATGAATTATCATGTTTTTCAAAACTGTTCTAGCCTGCTCTGGAGCAGAGAAAATCAGTTAAACCACACTGTGTCCAAATTTCAACCTGGGGCAAGGACCAAGCAACGGGGGTCAGAGTGAGGGCTGAGGGACTGGGATGGAGCAGGAGCTTCTTACCAGAGACCCCAGAGGGTGTGGAGCACCAACAAGGAAAACCAAATGTTAATCCACAGGGCGAAGTTTGTATTCGATTACCAAAGAGGAAAGTTCAAGCGCTAAGCCACACAGAGAGGTCACAAGGCATGTCATTGGGAGAAGACCCAATCACAAACAGCAGATCAAGAGCATATAACATGAAGTTGTATATACTTGTAGAGGATGCTGTTGAAGGGGCTTTCTCACCGATATCAGGGAGGTAGGCCAGAGTGGCAGAGGGTAATGATGGTCTAGACAGCTTACCGGAGCAGGGCAGACAGCATTTGCCTTGCCCTTCTCTCCATCCAGGGATGTTTTGATTACCAGAGAACAAGGCTTACCCATAGGCTGAGGTCACTGATTATACTTTCTGGAATGATTTCTAAAGTGCATTACTAGAAAAGCATAGCTGTAAGTGTATCTCAAATGCACCAAAGACGAGGCTTCTGAGCACTGCCTTTGGAACATGAAACGGCTTTAGAATAACTACTCAGCTTTCTTAGTGATCTCTCCTCTTTGAGAAATTATGATCTGTTAGATTGTAAGGTCATTGAAGACAAGACTCAGTATTGAATCCCTACTATGCCCGGTGCACAGTATCTATCAGCACAATAAATATTCCAGGGGATGAACCACAGTTCTCATCCACATGTCTGTCTGTGGGGAGATGCACCCAGGACACCACTGCACAGGGTTGAGAATGCCTCATCCCACCACCTTCCTCAACTCTCAACAACTCTAACTGGCCTCTGGCGATGACTCTCATGACTTGGAGGGGCTTTACCAAGGCACGTCGATGGCTTGGGTGGGGGGAATCCCCTCCAGGGTTGAGAGGAGAAGATGGCTGTTAGAACTCTAGACTCCAGCCAGTGACAACACCCAGCAGCTCACCTCAGGCCTTAGAGTCTCTGTTGCCTGATATCACTATTTACTACATGGCAATGACAAATTACCTAAAGTTTCTAAACTTGAGTTTTCCCATCTACAAAGTGGACTTAGCGGTGCCTAGATCAAAGAGTTGAGAGAACTAAGTAAGGTTGGTAGGACAATAGCCTGAATATCTGTGCACACTAAGGTGCTCCAGAGACACATTCTCTTCTAGGGTTCAGTCTCAGTTCCAACCTCGGAGACTGGCCCCTCCATTCCCATTCTACTGCACTTACCTCCCTCTTCTCTCCTCCCTCATCTACTTAGGAACCCAAGTTAACCACAAAGCTCTTCTAATCTTCTGACCCTGAAGCTGTTGCAGCCACCCCCACACACACACACACACACCAGTGTGGCTGGAAGTAGATGTAGATGAAGAGCAAAGTCCCAGCTACATGCAGGTGGAAACCGTGGGAGAGGGCATTTCTGCTGGGGGTTGCTTTCTTCAACCCAAATGCCAGGGGCGGAAGGCAAAGCGATGGAGACAGAACAACCAGAGGACAGATGCTGCTACATAAAAAGGAAGACAATCACTTCCCAGAAAACATGCAGCTGCAATTTGCGTTCTACAGGAAGAAGAGCAAACCCTGTTCAATTCCCTCTCTAAGCAGATTTCTGTAATTATTAGCACTTAAGAATACAGATGTTAAAAAGCATGTGCTTAAGGAGTTAGTTAAGTTTGTGCAGCTGCAGATGGAAAGACTGAAATTTTTCAGAAAGTGGTATTAAATACCCTCATACAATAAAGGGACACTGCCAACACATATGGCATAGAAGAGAAAAAAGACCCACTGATGAAAAAAAGAAGAGGACCTGAACAAGCCATTTCCTTTAGTCAGACCACCACAGAGATGGCTAGTGCCAACCCAATGTCCCTTCTCTGCTCCCTTTGTACCAAAAGAACCCCTACATTACTGGAGCACCTCAACTAGAAAACTGTATTTCTAGCACTTCTGTAATAGGATTGGACACAGATGTACACAGGGAGTTACTGGCTGGAATTGATAAGAGCTCAAACACAGATCTTAACTGAGACATCTAGCCTAGATTCCCAACAGTTTCTTTGTCAGTGAGGATTATAAGTTCACGTCAGAACCATATTACTTTTTTGGATAATTAGATATGAATTCTTGCTTTAAGTTAACTGTTGAAAAAAAAAAAAGTTAACCGTTGAATACATGTCACCAATAGTCTAAATGTAGGTTCAATCTTCCTTAACCAGTCTTTGTGTTGCCTTTATAAAGTACCAGACTCAGCAGACAGTTCTCTGCACTGGGCAGACACCACCTGAAAATTAGTGTTCAAGGGCCATGCCTATAACAGGCAGGTGAGATAAATGGTTGTTCAGTATATCTTATGCCTATTCATGTTTCACAATGCATACACATGTATCTATTTGAAAACTTTCTAGAGATTTTCATCAGCAGTAGGAAGGGGGGATAAAAGGAGTCAAAAGACCCCATCTCTATGCAGCCTCTCTGGATTCCACTATTCAGCTAGTCCAGGAGAATCCAGAGAAAGGTAAGGAGCGCTCTGTGGAAATCCTTATGGATTTGTCACGTGCTCCTCACTCTACTTTTCTGGATCCAATCAGAATTTTAAGCACATGAGCACCCAGAGACACTGAGGTCTTACTTGTCTCTCTCCCAGTCGTCTTTTGATGTGACCACTCTAGGAATTTGAAGCATATATTAAATTCAGGACAACCTCCATGAGTGTTTATGATAATCACATAAATACAAAAATGCAAAGCTTTCAGCAGTAATAAGATTCATTTCCTCTACTTCATATTACCTGCTCCTTGGTACTATGTAAAGACTAGTAAGCATATAAACTTCTTGAGCAGGGTTAACATAGATATAAAACGTGATTCATGTGTATGCTTACAACCACAGACACATTAATTGGTAGTCTACTGAAAGACTTAACTTTTTTTTTTTACAAATTAAACAGAGACACTGGTACTGCTCCTGCTAATTTGCTGAGTATGGAGCTGTAAAACCCAACCTTCTATTCTGGGATTTTAAATCTGGTACCTTCACAAAACAGTATTATCAATATTTAAAAGGTGCTTTTGGCTTCTGGTGAGGAGCACTGGGGTTTCCCTCCCTTCTCAGACCCTTTTATGAGGTGGTCTTCTTGTGCGTTGTGCCTGACAACACTAACTTTTCTCCACTGAGAGCAGTGTCCATGCCCAGAGAAAGGATTCTAGGGGAAGCTCTCACTACCCCTAACCTATCATCCCATTCTGCGCCCCCCGCCTTCATTTTAGCATCAACCATAAACTTTTCACTTCAGATTTTTATGAACTCTGCTTCATGGGATGCATTTCCCCTTTTGATGTAAAATGATGTAGAGTGACTGTAAACTTTCTGTCCACCACCCAAAACAGGTGATTAAGGAAGGTATCTGCCCACCTAATGGTGGCACTGTCACAGCAGGACAGGCAAAAAGCTCCACACCCTTGGGCAGATCTGGGGTCTTTAAGGCTATTATTAGAGATACAGGCTTGGTTTGAATGGACCCTGAGTCCCAAAACACCCTGGTCACCTCCCCCGAGAGCAGAGAGCGGTAGGGCTTGCAGAACCCTATCGGCAGGAAACCTCTCTTCTCTCTGGAAACTTGAATCCTGTCAGGAGAGTTCAGTTTCTGCTGGAAATCCAAGACTTTGCAAGCAAACATGATAAGACCTTCCAAAGTCACAAGGTGAATATAATGAGTGTAGCATTCAGAATACTTACGTGGGGGTGGGGGGGAGGAGGTGGGAACCAGGATAAGTGTTCCCTTTCATGAGCCTCTCTATAGGTAGTGATTTCCCTACTTAACCAAAGAAAAGCAATGGGAGCAGCTTCCCTGTCACCTATTAAAAGGAGAAAGATGGGTATCTTTAATTGAAAGCAAGCCATCACAAAGTTCTCTAATTATAGGCTCAAAGGGGTTTCAAGCTCATGTTGTATCTCCTTGGCTTTCAGCAGGACAGCATTAAACCTTCCTAAAAAGATAAGACTCAACCTATTTTTAAACATACCCAAAGAGGGCATTCTAGTCTTCTGTTCCTTTGTTAGACGGGATTTTTCCCCCCTTTCTAACCTCACCACAGGTGAACTTTTGCTATTACTAACCTGAAATCTTCACATTAGAGTTCGGCTTGGTTTGTTCAGTAGAGATGGTGAACAGCTGGTCACCGTTAGCCTTTTCTACACTGTACTTCCATGTGTCCATCTGTATGAAATTATAACAATTAATTAGGAGATTTGGGCTTAAATCAATAAATTTGGAGCTAAATGCCAATGGAATCACTCCCTGACAAAAGACTGCCAACCTCCTTTTTCTCATACCTTTCTTTGCCTGCCATCTATTCCAATGCTAACATCGCTCCCTTCCCTACCTCTCTTCCAACATCACTCCTCCCCAATACAGACACACTACAGCAAATGTGGACACTGACACTGGTAGATTGCTTAAAACACCTGTGTTTTTAAGATACAGCTAGTTAACATTCAGATCTTAGCCCTATTAGCTGAACAAGGGGTAATAATAGTTAACAGCACAGACTCTGGAGCCCACTGTGCTTAAATCCCAGCTCTGGGAGCATAGGCACACTTATTTATGTCTCCCTACATATCTATTTTGTCATCTGTAGAATGGACGCAACTATAGGATCTACCTTATAACATTATGGAAAAGATGAATGAGTTCATACATAAAAAGCCCCTAGAGGGATTTTCTGGTTCTCTCGTTGTAAATGCCATATAGTTGTTAGCTACTGTTATACCTTCCTTGCAGCCAAAGGACATTAGGAGGCATTAAACTATGCCTGATAGTCCAGAAGGCAAGAATTTGAGACAAGGAGTATGACTCAAGTTTTAAAGGAAGTGGATAAGCAAGAAGAGTTATCCAGGTGGACAATTAAAGAAAAAAAGACAAAAAAAAAAAAACAAACAAATAAGAGATAAAAGAAAAAACTACAGAGGAACAACAAAAGCGGACATTTCGTGGGGAAGAGGTACGACAAGGAAAACATAAGGGAAAAGAGGAAAAGAACAAGAGAAAGGAGTAAAAGGGTGGGCATGGAAAGCAAAGACAGAGGTAAAGACTGAGAATCACGAAGGAAAGCAAAAATTAGAAAGGATTCCCTCTGCAGTTTGGGCTGGGCCTCAGAAAGAGAAGGGAGTAGAAGAGAAAACCAAAATGTCAGGTATGGTAGAGAAGCTTGGGACAGGATGAAGAGATCCAGGTAATAACACAAAAGGCTTTCTTTGCAGCAACAGGCCTCTGTCTTCCAATTATGAGAAGTGTACAGCCAAACTTAACCCGCCCATGATCCACTGGTCTTCTTTCCTTTTTTTCTTCTTATTCTAAATTGCTTTAGAGGCCGTCCCGGAATTAGGCCCTTCGGTGTGCCCTAGTCAGACGTCTGCCTTGTGTCCGGTCTGCCCTACCGACAAGGCCAAGATGAAGTGACCCGGCCTTTACGTTCACCGAATATTCTAACTCTCCTTTACAGATGAGCACTTAGCTGTGGAACACGCACTTACACCCTCTTCCTCCTTCAAACATTCACAAACCTGTAAGGGGAGGTTTCACCTTAAAGGTATCTCCTCTCCCCCCTAACTCCCCCCGCCCCCCCCTTTTTTTGGTCCATTTAGAACAAGCAGACAGTACTACTGCAGGGCAAGGCCGCTTTTAGGGCATCAAATCGCCTTCCCCACTAAAGAGAATTAACTGCCCAGTGACTTGGAAGGAAACAAGAGACAGGTTGGATCGAGGTTTAAAATGAAATCAGCATTTCAACGTTACTTAGGTATTATCACTACGGAAGCGCCTGTTTGGTGCAAACCAGTCCCCGTGCCTGGAGAAGCGGCGAGACCTTACAGGGCCCTCTCGGCAGACGCAGCGGACGGCGCGCGAGCGTCTCCTCCAGCCGGGGTGAGCTTGGGCCGCCGCCGCCGCCGCCGCCGCGGGAGTCACGAAGCCAGACGCGGCGCGCCTCCGCCCAGGACTCGGGAGACTGCAGCAGCGCGCGCCTGGCCGCGGCCCCGGCGGCTCCCGGAGGCTGGGGCAGACGCGACTCCCGCAGACACGTGACCTCCTCCCAGCCGCCGCTTCCCGCGACCCAGATCCGTCCCCGGAACCCGCGCTCTGCGGGGCGGGGGGGGGGGGGCGGCGGGCAGACACGTAGCGACGGCCCGAGTCCCCGCTGCCCCCGCTGCCCCCCGGTGCGCGTGCCTCGGCGCACTTCTCCCCCCCGCTCCGGGCGCCGCTGGCACGGAGGACGGTTTCGGGGATAACCCAGAGGAACGTGAGCCTGACTCTCGCTGCAGGCAGGGAAGACCTTAGGTTTCCCACCTAGCCTCTCCGCTTATGTAAGAGAAATCCGCAGACGCCCGGCCCCGCGCACCGCCCGCAGCGCCCAGCAGCGGCCGCCGCGCAGCGGGAGCCCCGGGAGTCCCGTGGGACCAGCCCTCCCCGGCCGCCCCCGGCCGCCCCCTGCGCCGGCGGCGTGGGCGGGGCGCCTCCGCGGGCACCTCTCGGCCACTCTCGCCAGCCGTGAGTCACGCTGCCGGGACGGCTCCGCGGAAAGGTAGCCCGGCGGGCGCCGCCGTGTGCTTCCCCGCGCCGGGCGCCGCTGCTCCCGGGCGAGCGCGCGCGCGCACGGCTTCCCCGCGCAGTGATGTGGCGGCGGCGGCAGGTCGGCTCACGTTGCCGGCCCTGTGCTGGTACCCGTTCGCGACGGGATTAAGGAGGGAGGCTCTGGAGGTGCCAGTGGTAGTAAACGTGGGCTCTGCACACTCCCGGCGTCGCTGATCACACGGCGGGGGGGGGGAGGGGGACCACGCAGCAGCCCCGCGCGAGGCGGTGGGGGCGACGGAGAATGCGGCACCGCTGCTCCGCGGCAGCCCCTCTCGTGCCGCCCCCTCCCCCGCCCCCTCCCCCTCCCCCCCCGCCGCGTTCCTCCGGGAGCACCCGAGGCCCCGAACGTCGTCATCTGCTTCGGTGATTAGTGGCACCGCAATTCCGGCTGCTGCGGGAAGTTCGGGTGGCCCAGGGACACCGTTGTCGCCGAAAGACACTTGGATTGCGACATTCTGACCCAGCGACTACATTTTCCTTTATTTTCAAATCCTTCGGGGAGGGGATTTCAAGTTGCCCCATTAGGGGGCAACTCCCAACCGGGGCCAAGGGGTCCTCCCCTCCCCCCCACGCCCCCCCACGCCCCCCCCCTCCCCAGGCCACCGAGCCACAGGGAGCAAACAAGTCTCCAGATTTTCCTCCGGGACTGAAGTTTGCCCACCGCGAATTCTCTTTCTCTTTCCTTTCTCGGGCCCGAACCACCCGTGCAGGCGGTGGCGAAGCAAAAAAGCCACGTTCGCGTTCCTACACCGTAATGACGGACCGAGCGAAGGAGTAGCGTTTCCGAGCCGAGGAAGCCCTGGCTGCCCCGCACCCCCGGCGCCCCCTCCCCCTCCCCTCCCCCAGCTGACTGCAACGCCTTTGGGAAGATGAATAGCTTGGCCGAAGTTGTTTTTCCTTTCCGGTGGCCCTGATCAGGTGTCCCCGCCCCCTCCTGCCGCTCGCCTTCCTCGCAGCCTGCTCCCGACACCCCCTCCTGGCCCGGCCCCTCCTCCCCCGCCCCCCTCCGGGCTGGACCGCGGATGGTACGTTCCGCACGTGAGCTGGGTGCTGGTCTGGCCGGCGACGCGCGTGCCCTGTGGCCAAACACTGCCCGGAGTGAGAGCAAACTACCAGCGCAGTGGGGCCGGCGCGAGTGTGCGTGCGTGTGTGTGCGTGTGTGCGAGAGGGCGAGCGCGGTGGGAGGGGGGGAACCAACTGCTTCACACTTTCAACACTGCACTGAAGAAGGGAGAGAGAGAGAGAGACTGGAGACGCACAGATCCCCCCAAGATCTCCCAAAGCTATCGTCCCGCAGATTATAGAACAGAACCCCAAAAAATCGAAACAGAGGAAACGGACAGCGGTTGAACATGGACGAAGGAATTCCTCATTTGCAAGAGAGACAGTTACTGGAACATAGAGATTTTATAGGGTAAGGTGCACGCACCCTTGCGAATATCTGTCTAGGCTTCAGTTTGATTTTTTTTTCTTCTTCTTCTTCTTCGTTTTCTTCTTCTTCTCCAGAAAGTGGTATGGAGCGGGCAAGGGCAGTGCCCCTCCCCGAGTAGGTGCCTGATGCTGATTTCTGTTTTGCAGACTGGACTATTCCTCTTTGTACATGTGTAAGCCCAAAAGGAGCATGAAGCGAGACGATAGCAAGGTAAGTGTAAGTTTCCAATGTTCCCCATAACCTGCCTGGATAGTTAATTAGGGCCATTGATTTCACAGCGAAGCTCTGCCCGCAAATATATTCCAGCCCTTGAGCTTCCCCAACTGTGAATTTTAAGTGGTTTGCTGGATACTCTCCGGGGGAGATTAAACATCATACCTGAATTCAAATTGCATTTCAGAACAGTCCAGAGGAAAGGTTTCTTGGGCATAGTTTATCACATAATATGGGGCTCTGGGCGGGGGTGGGGGGGTGGGGGGGTATTGTTTTATCCAATAAATGTTTAGCTTATTGTTTTGTTTCTTCCATGACTGTCGTATATTAAGGATACCTACAAATTACCGCACAGATTAATAGAAAAGAAAAGAAGAGATCGAATTAATGAGTGCATTGCTCAGCTGAAAGATTTACTGCCTGAACATCTGAAGTTGACAGTAAGAGACACATTTTCATTCTTTGCTGCTCTCCAAGGGCGTGTTAATAGCTTGGTACTACTCCCAGAGATATAAGAATAAATGTAAATATCATATGCCTTACAACTTGTGCTATAGTGTAGAGTTTCCCACAAACTCAAGAGTAGGTGCTCACAAGCTGAAGGCAAGAAATCATGTATAACCCGTCTTCTGGAAAGCTCAAGAAGTATAGGAATAGTACTTCTTTCAGAATGTTTGCTTAAGTTGCTGTTCCGAGTGGAGAGCCAATCAAGCCAAATGTGTGTTTTTAAGTAACCAAGTGCCCCCTTCTCTTTTGCACCCTGCAGACTCTGGGGCATCTGGAGAAAGCGGTAGTCTTGGAATTAACTTTGAAACACTTAAAAGCTTTAACAGCCTTAACCGAGCAGCAGCATCAGAAGATAATTGCTTTACAGAATGGTAAGTGAGTTCAGGGAGGCCAACCCACCCTGATGAAGCCGGGCAGCCCACAGAGGGGCAGTGTTTAGGACTCTTCCCCCACCCCCACCCGCACCCGCACCCCCACCTCCTTCCTTGGGCCCACGGGGCTCACTCTCATTTGTTAAATTGCTTTATACTTTCCCTTCATTGGGAAGTGCCCATTTCCCGAAGCATCCTAGAGGCTTTCAGCAGAACTCGGAGGAATCAGATTTTTATTTAAAGTGGCGGTTGCGCTCTCCACTTTGGTTTTCCAGCAGGGAGTAGAGCGCCCCCCCCCCGCTCCCCACCCCCGCCCCCCCTCCCCTTTCTCCCCCACCCCCCCCCCACACACACACCCCCGGCACCCGGTGGATTATATCACCCGAATACAGAAGAAAAACCGAGATCACTTTAGTCAATGTAGGGCCCACGTGATAAGCAGATGTTTTAACGTCGGTATTTGTCTTCTTGCCTCCATGCCTCTGCCCCCACCCCACCCCCTTCCTCATCCCAGGGGAGCGATCTCTGAAATCGCCCATTCAGTCCGACTTGGATGCGTTCCACTCGGGATTTCAAACATGCGCCAAAGAAGTCTTGCAGTACCTCTCCCGGTTTGAGAGCTGGACGCCCAGGGAGCAGCGGTGTGTCCAGCTGATCAACCACTTGCACGCCGTGGCCACCCAGTTCTTGCCCACCCCCCAGCTGTTGACTCAACAGGTTCCTCTGAGCAAGGGCGCGGGCGCGGGCGCGCCCTCGGCCGCCGCCCCCGCGGGGTCCGCGGCCGCCCCCTGCCTGGAGCGCGCGGGGCAGAAGCTTGAGCCCCTCGCCCACTGCGTGCCGGTCATCCAGCGGACTCAGCCCAGCGCCGAGCTCGCCGCCGAGAACGACACGGACACCGACAGCGGCTACGGCGGCGAGGCCGAGGCGAGGCCGGACCGCGACAAGGGCAAAGGCCCCGGGGCGGGCCGCGTCACCATCAAGCAGGAGCCCCCCGGGGAGGACTCGCCGGCGCCCAAGAGGATGAAGCTGGATTCCCGCGGCGGCGGCCTGGGGGGCGGCGGCGGCCTGGGGGGCGGCGCGGCGGCGGCGGCGGCCGCGCTCCTGGGGCCCGACCCGGCCGCCGCGGCCGCGCTGCTGAGACCCGACGCCGCCCTGCTCAGCTCGCTGGTGGCGTTCGGCGGAGGCGGGGGCGCGCCCTTCGCGCAGCCGGCCGCCGCCGCCGCCCCCTTCTGCCTGCCCTTCTACTTCCTCTCGCCTTCGGCGGCCGCCGCCTACGTGCAGCCCTTCCTGGACAAGAGCGGCCTGGAGAAGTACCTGTACCCGGCGGCGGCCGCCGCCCCGTTCCCCCTGCTGTACCCCGGCATCCCCGCGCCCGCCGCCGCCGCCGCCGCCGCCGCCGCCGCCGCGGCCGCCGCCGCCGCCTTCCCCTGCCTGTCCTCGGTGTTGTCGCCCCCTCCCGAGAAGGCCGGCGCCGCCGCCGCCGCCGCCGCCGCGACCCTCCTGCCGCACGAGGTGGCGCCCCCTGGGGCGCTGCACCCCCCGCTCCCGCACGGCCGCACCCACCTGGCCTTCGCCGGCGCCCGCGAGCCCGGGAACCCGGAGAGCTCTGCTCAGGAAGATCCCTCGCCGCCGGGCAAGGAAGCCCCCTGAACCCTCGCCCCCCGCCCGCTCTCCCAGACAGGACGAGGGTTCACGCGGAGTAACACGATTAACGCGTTAAAACGCCCTTACCGTTGTTAAGGGAGGAAGCGTAATAGATGCACGACAGGCTTTTGAAACAACAACACAGGTGTTGTGTGTACATTTGGAGTTCCTGTTTTGCTCATCCCTCACCACCCCACCCTCCGCACACTAACGTCCCTTTCTTCCCCCACCAGCTACGAGAGAACCTCTGCGAGTCGATGCTTTCTTCTTCTTTCAAGGATTCGCCCCAATAAGTTTCGCCTTCCTCTAGGCCATGTTCCATTATTATTTTTTTAAAAAAAAAAAATGTAGAACCTAATTCTGGAGGAAGTAAGAAGGGTGTGCTCCTGTGGGTGAGCTAATTGAACCAGGGTAGGGGAACAACGGGGTGTGTGTGTGTTGGGGGGGGGGGTGCCAGGGGTTGACCTCCGGCCCCCGGCCCCCGGGTAGTTGTCATTCGCCTGCCGCAGAGCTGTCCCACCTGCTTCAGGAGGCTTTCCACAAACAGAATGAGGATCTTTTAGAATTGAATTTACTCTTCAGTATTTTATAATGTTCAAGCTTTTTTAAAAGGCATATATTTTTCAAAGAGGAAGAAGCGAGGATGCAGACACGTTGCAGCCTCTTCTGAAGTGGTTTGAATGGTATCCCTTAGTAACTTGCTCTTGTTTAAAGAGACAGGGAGTTGGGCCATTGTCAGAACTAAGTCAGGGAAGGAGATGGATGAGGAAGGCCAGAATCATTCTTGGTACATTTACTAGCACTTTATTGAGAAATTGACCATGAATCAATTGATACATTTTAATTTCATTCATATATATGTATATATATATGTGTGTGTGTGTATATATACACACATATATATATATGGTGCCTCTCTTCCCACCTTGTCATTATTTAATTCACCATGTTCCTAAGTTTTTATAATCTTGCTGTAAAAAAAAAAAAAAAAGGAATGTGCACTGAACTTAAGAAAACAAACCCCAAACGATTTATCCTATATTCTGTTAAGTAACAAACGTGGAGGAAAGCATTCAACTGGTCATTTTTGATTGGAAATGCTGTAAAGATGTGGAATGAAGCCCTGTGAGGCCTTCCTATCTCCAAGTCTATGTATTTTCTGGAGACCAAACCAGATACCCGATAATCACAAAGAAAGCTTTTTTAATAAGGCTTAAACCAAGACCTTGTCTAGATATTTTTAGTTTGTTGCCAAGGTAGCACTGTGAGAAATCTCACTTGAATGTTATGTAAGGGGTGAGACACAACAGTCTGACTATAAGTGAAGAAAATATCTGGGTCTTTTAGTCAGTTTCGTGCATTTGCTGCTGCTGTTGCTACGGTTTGCCTCAAACGCTGTGTTTAAACAACGTTAAACTCTTAGCCTACAAGGTGGCTCTTATGTACATAGTTGTTAATACATCCAATTAATGATGTCTGACATGCTATTTTTGTAGGGAGAAACTATGTGCTAATGATATTTTGAGTTAAAATATCTTTTGGGGAGGATTTGCTGAAAAGTTGCACTTTTGTTACAATGCTTATGCTTGGTACAAGCTTATGCTGTCTTAAATTATTAAAAAAAAATAAATACTGTCTGCAAGAAACCAGCTGGTTTAGAAAATTTTAGTATGTGAAGATGAACTAGAAATTATCTTTATATTCTAGTATTTTCAGCACTCCATAAATTCTATTACCTAAATATTGCCACACTATTTTGTGATTTTAAAATTCTTACTAAGGAATAAAAAATTTAATATACGATATGAGATTGTCTAATAATTAAAAGGACATCATGCTCAATTAGTTTTAAGGTATCTATGAGTTTAGGGATGAAAGTTTTTGACGTTCTCAGATATACAAGTTTGTCATTGGCTTGATACCACACGTTTCCAATTTCTTAACAAGCCTCCAGGCTCTGACTATGTCTACCTACCTGTTTCCAATGTAGCTCAATGGAAAGTACAAAAGAAAAACCTACTGATCACTGGCATGGTCTATTTATGTTAGACCCAATTTGTTGATGTTTTTGACTGATGAATTTTTCACTTCTCATCTTGATACCATCTAGACTTTTGTGTGACCTGGTATTTCTCCTTCCTTGGGTCCAGTATAAATATCTACCAGTTAGGGGTGCTGAACTTTTCTTATATTTTTAGCTTCTTAACCTTTATAAAATAATTCTCTTGTGGGAGGTAAGTATGGAATTCAAGGAAAAGAAATAATTATTTGTAGACTTTTCTCAAATTCATAACCAACTTTGTGATTTGATACAAACCGTGAAGGATTGTCAACTTTTAGTTTCAGTAATGTTCTTCACAAACCCCTTGGTTTTTGAAAGGTGTTGAAATAATAGTCAAAATTTATGAGATGTAGAAAAAGTGCTCCCTCTGCTGACTTACAGCAACCAAGCTACAAGTCATAGAATGTGGAGCCAAGCCCGGAGATCAGTTTGTCCAGCCCCCTGCATTTTATAATATGAAGCCCAGAGGTATCACATATCCTCCTAAGATCAGACGAATAGCTACCTGGAGCCAGCACAAGAGGCCAGAGCTGCTATATCCCTCCCTTCCACTGCCACATCTTCAACGGTGGAAACTGAATTTGATTGGGCAGCATTCATGAAACATCACAAGTAAACCACAAGAACAAAGGAAATAAAAATTACCATTAGAAAACCATGTAGGATTTTTGAGCATTGTAATTTCCTGAACTTAGAAAAATAGCGTATAACCCAGAATAATGGGGAAAAGTAGCATTTTGAATATTTTGAGCTACATTGCAATGCCATATGGTAATAATATTAGTTCCATAACCAGAAAAAATTCAAAGTAAATCAGAGAACAATATATGTTTTAGCATTTGTATACTTTTGGTATAATAAAGTTAAAAAAACCTCAGGGTTAGGCCAGATTTTATGCGTCAGTCATTTAGTCCAAATACCTATATACTTAATGATAATAAGATGAAGTTAGTGATGACAGACTGCAAAATAATACTGTCTATATGGCATCTGAAAATTGTTATTTTGGTAATTGGTTATGAATTAAAACATTGGAGTAATGACTCCAGTAATGATTCACTAAGAACGGTCCTATGCCTGCAGTAGTGAAATTTTAGCCAAAATGTGCTGTAATATATGTGATTTTTCAATTTAAGACAAATATGAATCTTGAATTACTAATGCTTTTATATATACGGTACGCATGTAGTATTGTGCTACTTGATTTTGCATACATATATTTCTCAGAAAACTTCATATTGAACTGATAAGTGGCCTTTTCTCCACAAAGAGCCAAGGCACTAGGAACTACATTTTTATAGCTATTTAAAGTATGATGAGTTTTAGTTCCTATCACTGTGAAAACTATTTTTCATTTAGTTCTCTGTTATTGACGACGCAGGCCATAAGTTTGGTTATTGCTCATCATCTGAGATTTTTTTCAAAAGTAGGTAAAAGAAGCCTCAATCAATTTCTGAATATGTCACAGGTCAATTTTGAACCTCTCCATGGAAGGTGATTGCCAGTTGAGATACTTAGAAGACAAGACTGGGCAAACATTAAGGCCTTTGCACAGAAATGAACAGAGCCCTCGTATACCAATTAAGGCTATTATAATGCGGAAAGTTGGCTGTGCTATTGTGATAATAGTATTTTACTTCAGATAGCAATCTAATGTTTTTCATTAAACAAAAATTCTTAATCTGTTGGACCCTCAGATCAATAGCCATAGTTCTGTGTTGCTTTACATCAGCTAAAAATGTATATACAGTGTATGCTGAAGTCCAATGTAAGTTTTAGTTTTTCATAAAATTTAATAGATTTTCACAGAAAATTATCACATATTTCCTGCAATTAGCATGAGATTTATACTAAACAACATGTTCAGCATGTACTTTAAAAATAGGCTCCTAGAAAGGAGTTGGATATTTGCCTTAAAATTGGGCTTCTTGCAGTAGTTCAGTGATTCCATAATGGAAACTCCAAACAAATGTAAAATTATACATTTTCAAAAGCTGATATTTTAAAATTCTGAATTCAGTGATACCCAGTTTATCTGGCCTCAGGGAATGATATATGCTCCATGAAACAGTGATTCAGAAAACTGAAGCTTCTATGTTCAAGTGCCAATATTGTTTATCCTTTCTTTTGTTTCCTTCAATTCTTTTAGTGGAAAACTTACTAAAATATGTCACACATATCCTCTAAAGTGTCTTACACATCTTAGAAATAAATACCCTATCCGGATAGTTATAACTATCTGTAGTTATCCATTCTCAATAAATCAGGGTCACCATGATAAACATCACTTTTGCACTATGCATGTCATCTGAGAGTACTGGCATCTGTGCTAAATTCTTTTTGAGTTCTTATATCTGCTTTTTATAGGTTTTTCAGTCTCTTTACTCATGATCAGACTGCCAGCTGTCACTTCTTGATGTGTCAGAGTGCCTGCCTCCAACTCTTATCTAATGTGCTATCTCTGACTTACTGTGGCCTGGGAAACCATTTAACCAAAACTACACCTATTTGAGATGTGTTTAGAATTAGAATAAATAGGCTCTAACAGAAGTACCTGAGGGGCACTTTCTTAAACTGTGTGAGCTTGTAGAATCAGTAACACATTTCTCCCACAACCTTTTTTCTTTATTTCCTTTTTCACATTCTCAGCAATGTTCCTTATCAGAACACTTACGCAAAAGCCTCAGATATTTTGTATATTTTTTTGATCATCTTATTACATAAAAAAGCAGCTTGCTAATGGCTTTATCCCACACCTAGCCACAAAATTAAGACCTTTCCAAGACAGAAAGGAATTATTTTATTTGATCATTTCTTTCTCTCAGATTGATAGGAATAGGGGACTGAGGGTCATTAGTGAAAACTGATTTAGCTTTTTAATTCATGATGACCCTGGCCCTGCTTCTGGTGTAGAATTTCCTCCACTTTTGAGTTTTGGAAATCTGGGGTGGCAGTTTCCAGCAAAAGGCATTCTGAGGAACTGGCAGGGAGGTGTGTAGGCCCGAATGATGCCTCTGAATTTAGACACACCCATCAGAGAGCTTCTGGTAAGAGGTTTCAGACTCTCTACTGATTGCAACAGACTTTTCTCCATGAGCCTATAAAATTCAATGAACAGTGGGTATGGGGATACAGGCATTTGTTTTGCTCCAACTATATGTGAGGTGCTGTGATAGTGCCGGAAAACCAAAGATTAATAATCTCTGAAGATCTCAAAGTCTAGTGGGGGTGACGGACCCACATGAAAATAAGTGACAGTGCAACATAGTAGGTGCTCTACAGAAGTGAATACAACACTAGGGGGTGAGGCAGGCTACCTTCATCTGCAAATGTCAGAGGCCTAGAGTAGCTGGGGTGAATGAGTCCATGGAGCCATCTCCAAGAAGGTTCTTATATACTCTGGTCCTGTGCTGAGCACCAGGGGTTTGATTAGTTACATTTGACTAAGGTCTGAGCACTGATTTCCTAATTTCTCAGTCTCTTTAGAACTTGACTGCTGTACTGGCTCTCACCATCATCTTCTCCTGAGACCCTGAACTATAAGTTGGGACTGAGGAGCAGGTAATGGTATTACCTACTGCAAAGGACAGCATTTATAGCATGATAATTTCTAATGTGGCAGTTGTGTGTGTGTGGGGGGGGGAGTACTTAATACCCCACAAGCAGCTTGCTCTCACCTCAACCACCTATCTCTCTTACAGAAGGAACTAAGGGGGATTTCTTTCCCTTTAAGGGCATGATGACCCAGGTTCTTTACTCAGTACCCAAAGGGGAAATAAAAGAGAGAGCAGTTCTAAAGGGAAACAAGGAATCCTAAAGTCTATTTTTTAAAACCTCCGGGAGGAAGCTGAAGCAAGCAACTAGTCCAAGGTCACGTAGCTCAGTAAGCAGCAGAATCAGGACTGGAACCAGATGTTTTGGTTCTGAATCCACTGCTCTTTACGTTATTACCCCATAGCAATAATAATGAGGTCACAGGAGACAGTCTGAGCTTTGCTCATGACATGAGTTGAGCCAGTCCATGTGAGGTCCTAAGAGGCAGAGTATGTTTTGTTGGTGGTGATGGGAAGATGGTCAGGTAACGCCTAGAATTCTAAAACATGGCATTGAGCATGCAGTAATCAAAGATGCCGGGATACCATATTCAAGGCCCCCTACAAAGAACCCTACAGCTTCACTGTTGCCTCAATTTGGAGAGACTCAGAAGTGTGCCTTCTTTTGTTTAGAAGTCCCCACAGGGTCTGGCGAGCTCTCCACCTCTGCCTAGGCGGTTCTGGCTGAACTCTAAAGACGCTCCATGAGAGAAGAGGTCAAAGCCAACTATGAATCCGGACCGAAGGAACACTCAGAATTGAGGAAGTAGGAAAGAGGGCGATTTGCTACAGTTTTTTTTCCGTGGGGTATTTTTAGGGTGCTGTAAACTTTAGCTACAGTTTCAACCTGAAGCCTTTTACATATGGGGAAGCACGTGTGTGCGCCTACAGTATCAAATGTTTCACGACTGAAGTACTGAGGCCCTGCCGCGTAGCCGCGTAAGAAACCTGCTTCCACGTGCGGCTTTACAGGTTCTCTAATTGTGTTCGGCACATTAGTTTTCACTGGGGAACTTCAACCTGGAGCCAATTCCTGTAGACCTGTCACTTAGGGTAAATTCCGAAAATCCCCTCTAATACCCCAGTTTAAAGACAAGGACTTCTCCTCCTACGACGCCTTCCGCAGGGCTGGCATTGCGAGCACACCTGC